AAAATGAATCAACAAAAATCAAGAATCAAACTTTAGAAAAGGAATCATACGTTTAATTATTAATTATCCTCACTTTGCAACATAAACGTTGTGCCCCGCACCCGCATAAGCATTTTCTACAGTAACCCACCATCAAGGAATAGTAGTGATCGCATCACCTATTTCATTATTAATAAAATAAAATCTCGTTTTCCACAGCCGGATCGAATTAAATCAACAGCTAGCCTCGTGATCCGCCGAACAATTAATATATAACTAAACAAATACATTAAAAAAAATTTACAGACGCACAACACGACATGATCGATCATGCATGCATGTCGTTCGTTTAATCATGTAATGTCTGCATATATTTATTTATATATACATATATATATATATATATATATATATATATATATATATATATATATATACTGAAACACACACTCGTCTTCTCACACTCATTACCCAGAAGAGCAGAACCCACAAGAGCATCCGAAAAAATCATTACGTTCGTTCGTTCGATGGCGCTATACTCAACAATGGCATTGAACGTCCAAATCATTTCGGAAGAAACCATCAAGCCGTCGTCCTTAGCCCCTGAGCACCTGAAAATCCACAAACTTTCGTGCATGGACCAAGCCGCCCCTCCCCGTTACACGCCCATCCTCCTTTCCTACCCGGATACACAAATCCCCTCCTCCTACCAACACGGCGCCATGGTCGTCGAGAAGCTGAAATCCTCCCTCTCCGAAACCCTATCCCACTACTACCCGTTCGCCGGCCGGTACCGCGACGACGGCTACTCCATCGACTGCAACGACAAGGGCGTCGCGTTCGTGGTGGCCCACGTGTCCGACGACAAAACGACGTCGTCGTCGTCCACCGTCGACGTAGGAGGACTGGAGGAGGAGGAGCTGCTGCAGCTCATGCCCTGCCATCCCCAGGAGACGTGGGTGGACGAGAACGGGGAGCTGGTCCTGCTGGCCATCCGGGTCAACTTCTTCGAGTCAACGGGGATCTCCATCGGGATCTGCGCCTGGCACGGTGTCTGCGACGGGCCCACCATCAGCTTCTTCGCCCAATCGTGGGCCGCCATCTGCCGCGGCGACCCCCAGGTCCAGCGCCTCCTCAACGGCAACGCGGTCGTGGACTACGGGTCCATGTTCCCGGCCCACCACTCCCTCGACTACATCCGAAGCACGGGGTCGTACTTCGACACGTCAGACGATCACAAAACGAGGACGGCGGTGAAGCAGTTCCTCGTCCCGGGCCCGAAGATCGACGCCCTGAGGGAGGAGATCACGAGGAGCACCGGGAAGCGCCCCTCCCGCGTGGTCGTGGTCTCCTCCCTCGTGTGGGCCGCCGCCATCCGCGTCTCCCGGGAGAAGCGGAAGGCGAGGAGGAGAGACGAGGATGGCATTAATGAGTTGCATTCGGCGGCGATGATTGTGAACATACGGGCGAGGACGAACCCGCCGCTGCCGCCGATGTGCATGGGGAACCTGTTCCAGCGGAGCGCGACGGCGAAATGGCCGATCAAGGGGGAGGAGGCGGCGGCGTTGAGTGATTTGGCGGGGAGGTTGGGGGATGTGGTGCGGGGAGTGGACGCGGAGTTCTTGAGAAAGGCGCACGAGAAGGGCGGGGAGGGTTACAAGGAGTTTATGAGGTCGTGGTGGGAAGAGTACGAGAAGGAGGACTTCATAGTGATAACGAGCTTGTGCGGGTACGGGAAGGAAGGCGGGGTGGATTTTGGGTGGGGGAATCCCGGTTCGACCCGCGGGTATGCGAGGAGCAACAAGACCATCACGCTGATGGATGCGAAAGACGGTCAGGGGATTGAGGTGTGGGCGACTCTGGATAAGGACGACATGGCCATCTTTGAGAAGGATCCTACCTGGTCTACTTAATTCACCTTTTTCAATTTCTTTCCGGCACTGCACTGCGCTAAGTAATTCATTGATTGGTTCATGTTTTCTTATCTTCTGTTTCTGTTCTTGTGTTTTGCTTGTATTTGTTTCTCTGGTTTCTCTTGTCGCTGGGTGCGATTTCATTATATGATGATATGGTGTTTTCTCTATATGTTCGATGTGATAATTTGTTTCATTATTAATCGATTGTGGACTTCTCTTTACCAGCAATCCATTAGTTTTTTTTATAAGGATGATATAAGTTTTTACTTTTATGTGAAGGTACTACGGACTTTCTAGATTCTAGACTAGTGGTAAGCCCTTGTTCGTAATTTTAGTTACCTTGTTCGTAATTCCAGGTTTTAGCTTACTGATATTACCATTGGCCAAGCCCAAGTTTCAGGCTAGTGACACACATGTAATTCAAAATAAGTAGAGACGACAAAAAGGACTTAATTTTTGGATGTTTCAAATCTAATTTATTATTAATTAGTCAAATAGATTTGGGTGATTTTATTGTTGGGGAATACTCATACTCTACTTTTCACGTATATCACCTTTCTCAATACCCTTTTCAATTAGAAGAGACAGAGCATTGGACATAAGAATAAACAAGAAAGGAGATATGAAATCTCCTTGCCGGATGCCTCTGGAAGGCAAAAAATGGCTCAGTAGGACTACCATTCAGGAGGATAGAAAACTTGACTGTCCTGATACATGCACGAATCCAACCTCTCCATTTATCCGAAAATCCATAAGCTAGCAGAATAGAATCAAGGCTATCCCAATCCACTAAGTCGTATGCTTTTCTCATATCTAGTTTCACCATCATATCCCAGTCATCAGATCTACGATTTTTGAAGTTATGCAGCATCTCATGAACAATAATGACATTGTCCTGGATTAGTCTCGCACCTGTAAAAGCTGCCTGCATCTCTGAAACTAAACCCGACAGCCACTTCTTCATTCGACTCGCCAGAATCTTGGAAATGATCTTGTATCTGAAATTGCAGCAACTAATAGGGCGAAATTGTGAGATCGTCTCTGGAGCAAGAACCTTAGGGATAAGGGCAACATGAGTATCATTCCAGCCCTGCGGCATATTCGAAGATCTGAAGAATTCAATCACTTCACTACAGAAATCTGGTCCAATTTTGCTCCAAAAGTTACGGTAAAACGACCCAACAAACCCATCAGGACCTGGTGATTTCGTAGGACCAAGGTCAAACACCGCAGCTCGAATCTCCTCAACAGTCAGATCTTTGTCTAAATCCATATTCATTTCATTTGAAACCAGCCTTGGGAAATCTTGTAGGGCATCATCATTAAGGCCATCTTTCTTAGTGAACAACGCTTGATAGAAACCGACAACATGATTCGAGAAATCTTCAGGTTGGGTAATCAAGTTCCCGTTGTCATCCTTCAGAGCAGAAATTTTGTTTCGAAGCTTTCGGAGAGAAGTGGAAGCGTGAAAGAATTTGTTGTTCTGTAATACGCCCCTATGAGGGTGTATGATCAGAATCAACGCAGCACAGGCCTCAATTCAATTGAACTAAGGTCAACTCCTTGCACCTGACGAAACAGAGTCTCAAAACCAGCCTAGGTAGCTAGCTTCGAGCACCAAAAACAGATGGAATCTGAGGGTTTCTTCACACCTGGGAAGAAGCACTCGAGATATGGGGTTGTCTTCGAGTAACTGAGGGTGAAAAACTCAGCTAATAGACTCAATTGTCCTAGGTTTGATCGCAACCAAATCCTAAGCTCAACAATCAACTCGCAAGTTGTTCAATTTTGGGGTTTTTCTTATTCAATGCAATCTGAATCATACAAACGAGCTTGAGGCCTTTATATAGGCTTACATAGTTACAAACAAACTAGAATAAGGATTGAAATTAACCTAACTAAGCAAGAAAACTGAATTACAAACATAATCCGAATAGAAGTAGGAATCCTTGTGGGACTCGGATTACTGGCAGTGCGAGGTAGCTTCTTTGGAGCCCTCGAAAATAGTCTTCCTAGCTGATTCGATCTCACCCAATCCCTTGTCGTTGTTTAAGTGAACTCCCTCTATCTCCTCCAACTTGAATCAGCTCGAAATCACCTCCCAAACTCCAGTTATAGGTCTTCAAAAGTAGCATCTTGAACACAGTTTCTGCCTTAGCCAAATCTGGACAGATTCCAGGTTTCTCCATAGCTTTTTGTGAGGCTTGGTAAACATCCTTCCTGGCATCTCCTTGAGCCCCATGACCTATCAATCGACTTATAAAGACTTGAAGATCACATTGATCCCTCAAACTCACATTTTCATTGAATGGCTTGGGAGATATGAGCTCCCAAAGTAGGTAACTCAAACCTGACCCAACACTTAGCCAAATTCCTTCCTTCTTCTTCCAAACTCCACTTCCTTCTTCCTCAAGCAATTCCAGCTTCAAGATTGATCCGATTGAGATCATATCATTCTGATCTCCCACACTAAGCCAATCAACCGGGACCGTTGGCTCCACAACAATTCATCATCCTTTCAAATTGCAGCAAGCTCATCCATAAGGCCTCTTTTTTCTTCAATGACTTCCACTGACCGATCAAGCAGGAGAATATCCCCCAACCTCACCTGGATTTCCTCAACCCTTTTATTCTGATCTTTAAACATCTGTTTAGCCCATCTAGTCAATTCCTTCTCGCATTTCTGCAGTCTTTCCTGGCAAAAGCCCCCACCATCCCAGTTCCGGTTTATAATATTTCTCCAACTCCCAAATATGCAATAAACTTGTAGTCTACTTTATCGGACTTGTGGCCGAGCTAATCGTCACAAAAAAGTGTAATGGACTGAGGCATCAGTGACTGTTTTCTGGCCGTCGCTAAATGTCTTCGTGACGTTTCGACCATTGGTAAAGGACGAAAAACTGTTTCTAACTAAGTGTTCTCTTGTAGCGAGAAAACACCGACGCGTTGTCTAATTGGTTATTTGGTTAATCATTCGATCAAGAATTTATAAACAGTGATTACAACGGCTACTAAACAAACAGTAGCAAGAATGCTGCGCATCACTTAAAAAATGTAAAGAAAGGAACAGAAAAAATAAAAAAACAAACACCGAAAAAAAAAAAATCAGACCACTGGAGTTAACAATGGCTTGTTCAGGAAATGAGCTTCTAAGTTACCAACAACAAGGTCAGCCATGGCCTTCCTGGCCTCGACCGTCGCACTCCCTACATGCGGCATTAGCACCACGTTGTCGAGCTTGAACAGCTCTTCCGGCACGTTGGGCTCGTCTTGGAACACGTCCAGCCCAGCGCCACCCAGCCGCCCTTCCAGCAGCGCCGACACCAGCTCCGCCTCGTCGACATGTGGGCCCCGCCCGATGTTGACGAGGACGCCCTCGGGGCCAAGCGCGTCGATGACGTCACGATTGATGATGTGGCGGGTGTCGGGCGTTAAGGCGCAGGCGACCACCAGGATGTCGCAGTTGGCGGCTAGGTCGACGACGGTGGGGCAGTAGTTGTAGTTGATGCAGGCGGGTTTTTGGGATCTGGAGAAGTAGCTGATCGGGCAGCCGAATGCTTCCGCTCTCTTTGCGATCGCCATGCCGATGTTGCCCGGACCGATGATCCCTACGGTCTTGCCGCTGAACTGTTTAGAGAAGAAATCAATCAAAACATGTTATGAATAATTGATTAATGAGATTTCGTTTTTTTCTTTTTTATTTCCAATATGAACATTGAACTCACTTGTATTCTACTCTGTAAAGGAGGATAAAGAAATTTTATATAGGATATCCCATTTCAAATGTAATTAATGATTGAAAATTTAAAAATTCTTAAATAAGAAAATATCTGACTAATTAAAGTTACTTGATATTCCGTAGAAGAAAATAACCATGACGCAACTGATTTGCATTTATACATATATGGGTGATATAAGTTTATTTTTAGTTATGTATTACTAAGGAGAATGGTTTAAAAAGTCATGCTTAATCTTGCGCTTAGTCACGACCTGCTAGGCAATGAAAAAACGCCTCGCCTAAGGATTTCACGCCTAATTAGATGCTGGAACACTTCAATGGAGTAAGGCGACATATAAGTCTCTCCTAAACATTTCTAGATGGAGCTAGGAAGTCAATATCAAAGGAGAAAAATTAACATCAACTACTAAATCAATTTTCTATATATATCAATATTTTCAATAGTTCAAGAACTTTGTGAACTATTGATCTATAAATCTATGAATTCGTGAGCTATGTTCTTGTCATTAAATGTTGAGTAAGTTATTAATCATTTAAAGTTTAAACTGAAGTGAAGAAGTGTTGTAGATTACTATTTCATTCATGTCGTACGAATATCTATTTTCTTCCAACGTCTATGCACGTTTAGTCTACGCCTATGCAAGTTATGCCATAGACAAAAGCTCAACGCCCGCCTTACGCCTAGCGTCTTTTAAAAAAAAGAGATTCGAACCTAATGCATTTCCGCTTCCAAACCAATGGTACATTATCACTGGACAAATTCTTTGTTCGTAGAATTAGCGTACCTTGGTAGTGAGCTTGTAGTCGCCAAGCTTGCTCCACAACCCACTCCTAACGTAGCGATCAATGGGACAGAGCCTCCTCGACACAGCCAGCATGAGCCCCAAGGCCAGATCGGCGACGTCGTCGGTGGAAACATCGGGGCAGTTGGTAACCCTAATCCCTTTCTCCTTACACTTCGCCAGATCGATCTTGTCCACTCCCACGCTGTAACTGGACACAATCTCCAAGTTGGGCAGCTGGTCGATCAGCTCGGCGTCGGCTCCTACAAATGCGGTCCCGACCACGGCGCGGATGGAGTCCCTGTGGGTTCTCAGGAACCGGGCCGCCTTGTCCGGCTCGGTGGTGGTGTCGAGCTTGTGGAGAGTGAATTTCTCTTCCAGGGCTTCGAGTAGGTAAGGCTGGACTTGGACCGACGAGCAGGTCATCAGGACGTCGATGGAATGATTATCGACGGTGGCGGTGGAGGCCGGGTAAAGATGGACTGGCGGCGGCGGGTAGGTGGTGAGGACGTTGGTGGAATGGTCGATTGAGGAAATGGAGACGGCGGAGGAGGAGAGGGGCCGGCGGAGGTTTGTAGTGTGGAGAAGTGGTTTGGTGGCGGCGGCGGCGGCGGCGGTGTGGTGGTGGTGGTGGTGGGGAAATGGACAGAGGTTGAGGTGGTGGTGCTGTTGGGTGGCCGGAAGGAGTTTCGCCGGGAACCACATCGACATATTTGGGACAGGAAAGAAAACGAGAGAGGAATTTGATTTTAGTGCTGTCGGAAATAACAACAGAACAATTAATAGACGTCATTTCCTTCATAAAGAAATAGAATCCGCGAGGAATGAAGGGACGATCTCGTTGACGGTTATTTTATTAATTTAACGAAGCATGCAGGATGGACTGAAATCCGCCAACAGCACGAGTGCGCGCATCGATTGGTTGCTCCCATAATCATTTATCATGCTCCAATTTGTTTTAAAGGACTTTTTCCAGCTTGTCCAAATGATTGAAGAACCAATAAAAATGATTTCTTCACGTAATTCTAATTAATGATTCGAACGATACATATTTATTATATTCACTGAGCATAATTTATTTTTTCATACACTATCATCAATCTTGTTTATCAACTGATTCATTTTTCACGTGCTTTTATAAATCGCGTGAAAATAGATATTGTATGTGAGTGTAAAGTGAAATAGCATGAAATTAGATCGATTGAGTTGCTTGAAAAATATAACTTTTTTACTTAAATTGTCTGTCGAATCAGGACCGGGCTTCCTAATTTCGTTGACTTCTTCTCCAGAATTTCATTCAGGGACCGGGTATCATAAGATGTTTATCCACTACCTTCAAGAACAGAGACGATGGTTCTTCGTTTTATCTGCCTGTAAAAATTTGCTGGAATATCGGCTCCAATGCTCATCTTACTACAATGTGAGTTGAAGGTTTTAGAAAATTGAGGTGGGCTTATTTAGGTATAGCTTATTTAGGTTTAGGAATTTTTGTATATGATATTCATCTTCTTCAATGAGGGTGTTGTAACCATGTCTTATTTTTCTTCAGAGATCTCCATTGTTGAGATACACTTGATTTATTCTTTCCTCGAATTATTTTCTATTGGTATATTGCATGGTTGGTCATTGAGATTACTTAAAAAATTCACATTTAGTCACTAAAAATACTTAATTCCATTCATGGTCACTAGGATTAGTTACACATTCTAAGTTTGGTCACTCTTCGTTAATCTCCGTCAACCTTTATTAACATCGTCAATTTTTTGCTGACGTGGCTAATAGAAATGCCTAATCACCTAATTTTAACTTGGAAAAATAAATACCCGAACCGCCACTACAAACGAAAGCCCTTATGAGCAGTGGCGGAGCCAGAAAATTGGTCAAGGGGGTGTCTTTATCATATCATAAAAAATCACCTATACAGTAAAAAAGTCAAGTTTAAATAAAAAAAAGTCAACAACGCAATACTCTAAATTCATACAATTACATTAAAATAGTTTCACGTACATAGGTTACAACGTCCAACAAATAAGTTCAGTACAAACAAGTCAAGACTTCAATTCATCAAGTACTACAAATTAGAACTCAGAAGTACCTTGGAATTGATTTTGTGAAACAAACAAGTGAACTTCAATTTGTACTTCATCACTTTCAGTTTTGTTTAAACAAAAGGCAAGAAATTACTGATCTATTGTAGAGCTACAAAAGAAATGAGCGAGTTTAAACAAAAGACAACAATTTATATAAATAAAGACGAAAGTGCATTGCATAACAAAACTTACTCGATTGAGATGGTAAGAAATTCTTCTTGCAACTAAATGATCACTGGTTCGAATTTGTAATATACCCCTACTCGAAAAAAAAATCTCCGAACCCAAGGGGGGTGCAAGCACCCCCTCCTCTCCAAGTGGCTCCGCCACTGCTTATGAGGTGACTGGCTTTCGTTTGAGGGGGTGTGTTAGTGAATGGTATATGATCCACGATTGAACCTCTCCCAACAACTCGAGTTATTGGGATCAACTGGTTCTTGACAAGAGGTGCACTAGATGTTAAAGTTCTCTCTTTTGATGAAGAAAATATTTACTCACTTGCTCAAAGTTTAGCGTCGAGTTATTGGGATCAACTGGTTCTTGACAAGAGGTGCACTAGATGTTAAAGTTCTCTTTGCTCTTTTGATGAAGGAAATATTTACTCACTTGCTCAAAGTTTAGCGTCGAGACTTTGCAGGCTATGAGATATGCATTCTTTGAAGAATGAACTAAATATGATGTCGCTCTTATGGTTCATAGTTAGGAATATGAAGTTTCCGCCCTTGCAAAATTATTAGAGAAGATAGTGGAAATAGGGATGTTCACACAATAAAAATTGTTTTGTCAGTTGATTCGTTTAGTGTTGACTTTGCCCGTTTCAACATCTACTACAGAGAGAACGTTTTCAGCAATGGAACATGTGAAACTTGATTTGCTCAATAAAATGAGCGATGAATTTCTCGTTGATTGCTTAGCTATTTTCTTTGAGAGAGAGTATGCTATTGGTATGAATGAAGACTCTATTATTGATGGATTTGCTAAATTAAAATATATTTGTGTACAATTGACATTGTAATGAAAAATAAAGTTGTACAATTTGTACAATTGACATTATAATGAAAAATATAGTTATTTATTATATTTTTTCCACAGTATTTAATATTCTAGTCAAATGTAGTCCAATACTCTACTATGTTCTGGATCAGCGGTTATTTGTGACTAGTATTATTAGTTAAACTCTCGCATGTTCTATTTACAGTATTTGACAAATGCAACCCACAAACTCTTATATTGAACATCAACGTTTACAAGCTCTCTCTGCAATCAACGGCGTGAATATTCTCTTCTTAGCCTCTTCGATCTCCATAAGCAAAGCTCTTGCTTCTGCTTCCTCAGGTTTGTATACCCCCAATTCCTTTCTCATCATCTCGAAACAAAATCATCTGATTCAATCCCTTACAACCACTCCAAGGCCGATTCCCCCATTACCCAGAACGCTTGCATTCGTATTCCAATTATTTTACCTTGCATGCATATACTAAAATCAGATTTATCATCGGTATAATACGCCTCCATCTTACAGTAATCTTTCAAGCTTACTCCGGCAACCGCTGCATGTCCGCTTGCTGCCTTCATCTCACCGCAATCTTTGAAGTCAGTCATAACTCATAACCCCCTATTTTCAAGTACACCAAAACAGAGTAGCAACAAGAAAAACAGGGGAAATCAGCACTGCCAGGAATGTGTTCCGTCGAAAGCGGCGTTTTTCTTACTTAAGTTGTTGGCCTTTCGCCCACCTTCGTCGCTCCTATATACCATTACTCAAAGGAATCGCGCCCTCCCAAATTCAATTCGCGCTCCAAAAATAAAGAAAAATGCGTTTTGCCGCTTTAGAGCGGTATCGTGGGTCCTAAATCCACGAATTGGGTGACCAGGAGCTGGCAGAGAGAGGCAATTTCGAAGTAGGAAGTAGACGTCCGGATCGGAACACACCACTCTGAAGTTGTACTGTCGCCATGAAGTGATTTGCTCAAGTAAAAAACGAGTTTCTACAAGTTGGTGTTTTTCTTCAATTTTTGTTTTAGGATGAATGATTATGAAGCTTATGAAGAGGAAGAAGCTATATATTGTTAGAAACCGAACAAAAAAAATTAGGGTTACCGATCTGGCTGAGTCGCGGACTAGGCCGCTCTCTTTAAGACATTCGCGGCACTGGCTCGTATTGCGCACGACAGACTATCAGCCGGTCGCCTCCAGGATAAAACAACCACTCTTATTTTGATGCTCATCGATTTTGTGCGAAAACCGGAGCTCTTATGAACTCACTCTCTCATGTTTCTGCTCTTCGAGGTGTGTTTAGAGGGTTTGGGGCGTCTCCTATTTATAGGAGCAGAAAACCCAGAATATTCCCTCTTTCTTTGGGAATAAGTCACATTTTAATAAGTCTCATTCTATCTCTTGTGATCTTCCTCACTTTTAGTTTTGTTTCTTTTGTTTGTTCACACTTAACCCCTCAACCATCCCATTTGACTAGATAGTAGGTCGAGGCCTGGACTAATAATAGATCTAGAGGGCCCTTGGGAATAAGACATCGGTCACCACTTTACTACTTCACCAACTTAGGATATAATTAACTAAGTTTATGTAGATAAAGAGCATTAACCTAGTTTTAGAGCTTCGGCAAGCACATTGATAGACTTAGCACAGAGTTTGTGTAGGGCGGGAAGATCACAGGACACAAATGCATTTAGTAGATTGAGATAAAATGATACTCCCCAAAGCCCAAGGGGGCAATGGACTCTACTCTCTTAGACAAGAAAACATCGCAATGCTTGGAAGAGTGAATGGTGCTCCAGAAAGAAAAGGACACATGTGGACTCAACTAATGAGCTCCAAGTATCATCGACATCAACAAGATCTGGACATCATTTGACCAATTCAGAGAAGTTACTTCATCTGGAATAACTTCACAAAAGCTGCTAACCTTCTTCGGAAGGGTTTTGCATGAAACATTAAGAATGGCAAACACACTAAATTTTGGTTTGATACTTGGATTTTGAAGGGCCCTCTGAAGGATATAGTTTTGACCTCGATCCCAACCAAGCTAGAGGACACGACAATTGCATACCTAGTGACACATAATGGGAGACGACGGACCAAAATGTTCTCGGACCTATTTCCCACTGAAATTCAATGGAAAATTCATAATATTGCAATGGACTCTCTCTCATCGAAGGATGACACTATCTTCTTAACTGTTCTTCGGATGGGAGTTTTCTACATAGGCTGCCTATAATCTCTTTATCCAGCAGGAACGAGACCCAGATGAGAGAAACTAGAAGATCATAAGCAGCTTACCAGTTCTAGAGAGAATCAGAATCTTCATGTGGCTGACTA